AGTGGCATCATGAACTTTAGTTTAAGCACTTTGCACTTTGAAGCACCTGTTTTTGTGCAATAGCAGGTCATGCTACTTTAATGGTAATTTCAGACAGTACATGCTAATCAATTAGTCTTGTTGAACATGGCTTATGTTTCAAAATTTTGGGTTAAAGGGTATTTTCCTTGAGTCAATCTTGAAGATTGGGGGGCCCACCAATGCTTCTAAGGACTTGCCGCCCAGCATCACAAATGGACTTTCTTTTCTGAAGTACCTTCTTGTACTTTCTTGTACCTTGAAGTAGTGGACAGGGTCTGGAGTCTAAAAGTGCTGCTAATATTAACTGTTTTGCTAGAATTGCGTGACTAAGCTAAGACTCTGGTAATTAACTCATTCACTGCCATTGACGTCTATAGACGTCAATCGCTTTTTTTTCGTTTTTTTCTTTCTATGGCTCGTCAAGGCTCTTGTGCATCCTGTGTCAACATTTCAGACCTGTAAACACTTTGGAACCGATCCTGTAGGGGGCAGAGGTGACACTGTGGCCAGATCCAGGGAGGGAGAAGGGGGCATGTGGTGCTGTGAGCAGCAAACAGCCAGAGGAGCAGCTATGCTTACACAGAGGACCGCGGATCTGAGAAGCTCACGCAGCTAACGCTGTTTGAGAGCCTGTTCAGTCATCAAACGGATAAATATGAAGCAGCTAGATGCCACGATGCTAGTTCTTCAGGTTTTAGTTAACATGAGGCTCCAGGATCCTCGGAGGCTTCCCCCTCCCTCCTCGTCCAGCAGCAGCAGCGGCAGCAGCAGCGGCAGCAGCAGCGGCAGCAGCAGCGGCTCCTCCCCCCGTCGTAATGTGGTAAGTTGCTTTTCACTTCAACATGTTGCATTGACGAGTTTATGTCTCCCCTTTGTCCAATGTAATAACAGCCCCTCCAGGATTTTGCGCGCAATTGTTGATTGATGAATGATTATTGCGGGGTAAAATGCTTGATTACACGGGACATTTTTCCAAAAGTTTCCCTGTTGAGTTTGGAGGCGTGTGAATCTGGCATGCAGCATTAGCTGCTAGGGAGCTATGGATGATGATACCGTGTGGTTTATAGAAGGGACAGGGGGAGGTGATCCATGGCAGACCGGTGAGCAACAAGTGTTAGATTTACCGCACCATGTGCATTCTGCTGTGGTGCGTCTCACTGTGGACCGTGCGTCAGGAGCGCGCCCTCTGCTGCTTTGGAACAGAGGGAGAGACTGACTCTGTTGCTCTGATCCCGGAGTCTGCGTGATTTTGCGTTCAAACATTGAGAGATTCTGGAGGGAGTGACTATAGCAATCACTGGCTTATACTATAGTAAAAATAAACATAAAGTAACGTTTTTAGCGAATATTGAAGAGTGTTTTTTATCTCAATGTCATAGCTGCTGAAGCCAAAACACTTGTTATAATGTGAAAATGTATGGTGATTTTATATTTTCCTTTGTGTTGTAGATTGTTGACCCCAGGACCCCAAAATGCTGCAGCAGAGCTTGATTTGGATCAGCAGCTGACTTCTGCAGCTCTTCATAACTGATGAACTTCTGGACCTGGATCTTGTTGTCAAACAGACAAAGCTGTATGCAGCACAATATTTCAGTGCACACACACAGCGTTTCCCATTCAGCAGAGAAAATGCATGGAAGCCAGTGACAGTCTAGCAGCTAAAAACTTTTTTGGTTTGACATTTCTCACTGGGTTTGTAAAAAAAAAACTAATCTGGAAATGTATTGGGAGTGCAGATGAAGTAGATTCCACCCCACACTTCAGCAGAGTGTAGGGTCACCTAATTACTATTCTTTATAAACTAAAGTAAAATTGTTTCACAAAGTGTTCAGAAAGTGTTATTTTTACTGTATATTTGTATACAAAGTGTTTTTATTGTATACAAGTTGAATATTTTATGTGTACAAAAGACAATCCTTTGAGTGTATTGTGTGTACACGTTTAATTTGTTTAAAAATAATTATGCATTAAAAATACAATTCAAAGTATTGTTTCTGTTTTCTGTCATACATTGTAAAATATCAGTAAAGACAAAAAAAAAACACTTTTCTGCTTGAAAATGCGCGTTTCACAAAAAGGCTGTTTTCTCCAAATCTTGGTCAGGAAACAGCATTTTGTGTGAAAGTTACCTATGTTCTACTCTCAATTGCTAAAAAACTAAAAGGGTTAGAAACTTACTTTCATTTGGTATGTTTCATACTTGTGTCAACCAAGGGCTCACATTTCTATGCGGTTCGGAAAAACACTAAAAATGTCCAAAATCTCTGGCAGTATGAGGGATGCTGCTTTTTAAATGGCTGGCAGTGAATGAGTTAAGAGAAAATGTTGTTGATGTCCAATGTCCATGAATGTTGATAAATCTCCAACATTACTAATACATATTGTTTGTCTTGACAAAATTATTCTTACAATAGTAAACTGTTATGAACAAATCAGACCACAAAATGCAGTCTTCACCATAACAGAAAATATGCTATCTATTGCATTGCTTGCCAGAAAGAACCCTGTGAGAGCCTCACTATTTTTTCACTTTTTTGTCTGAAAAGGTTGATATAAAGCCGCGTTCAGACCGGATCATGCGTTGCGTCTGCTTTCAATGCAAAGTCAATGGTGACGCGCGTTCAAGCTTCAAAACGCATGGACCTCTCGGCACGCACGCACGGACATGCTCCCGTAACTTTATGCAACTGCTTCGAGTGTGTCCGTCGATGCGGAAGTACTGTTTAATAATATAATAAACTTATTGCGCACCTCCGTGAACACATACTACTGTTATATAAAGTCCGGGGAAGGCCTCTGAACACAGACACCCTGCCAAACTGCATTATTGGAGAAGATCTATACACGAGAAGCCGCTAGCATAACTCTGTTAGCATCAGAGCCGGCCGGCTACTTCCGGCACTTCTGGCGCTGGTCAGTAACCTGGCAAAAGCCAGATTGATGATTGTGTAGAACTCTAACGCGTTCTCCGCGATATCAATCTGGGATTTCTCCCGGAGAATCCTTTCGGGGAAAGGAGGGGTAAGCAGCAGAATACTTGAAGCTGATTGGGCGAAGTGACGCTGTGTGCCCGCCTACCAAGGTTGCCGTCCAGAAATGTACAAAGCGCCTCTCGCTGTTCATCTTTCAAAAAAGAAATTGGAGATTCTGCTAAAACTGACTTTGCGTCCGTCCTCCTGCGTAGCCATGTTTGTTTTGCTTCGGCCCGGCACTTCTTGCTTTCGTCAAACCCGGATATCCCGCCCTAAACCCCCAGACTGGCACGTGATTGGCTCGCACACCCAGTGGTTCGACTCGAAAAGTGTAAGCGGGAGCGGTACAAGATGTATTCTCGAGTGTTTGTGAACTCACAAATACCGCGAGAATTCAGCTTGCAGGCAAGGTTAGCTGGTCAGGACGTTCTGGTGTGAAGACCCCCTCGTCTGAAAACTAGAGAATGCGCGTCTGGTGAGCGGGGCTTCAGCGTTTGAGCATTTGCGGTCTGAACGCGGCATAAGACGTGACCGGGGGCCAAAAATACATGCATAGTTAGGTGCCCTGCTTTAAAGGCCACAAAAAGGTACCATTTGCACTTTGTTTGTTGTTTCTAACATTTCCAAAATTCTATTATTACGTATTGCTTTTCAAAATTGTATTTTGAGCATAATGATCACAAACAAGCAGCGTGTTTCGCCTGGTCTTGGTCCGATCCGTGGTTAAACGATTTGGAGTTTGCTTTGAGAGGCTGTTCAAATGAGGCTGCAGTGATTATGAATGGTTTAATGGAGACTCACTGCTCTATTGTTCTGTTAGAAGCTTTTAAGCTTTTTATGTTTTGCTGTTATGATACTTTTTCCTGTGAACTCTCATTTGGAGGAAATTTAATGGAATCTTGTTTAGAATGTCAGTGTTATTAAGAAATATGGATTGAAACATTATGGAAAAGGACCTAATGAAAGCTCAAGTTGCATTAAAGTGTTTTATTCAACAAGTGGTCAGAATCTTCATTTGACAGGACAAAACATGCAACATGAACTGTTTGCCAAATTATAGTTTTTTTCTCTTCTTATGTAGGTGTAGATGCAATTCATGCAGGTTTGAATTGTTAAAAATGTTCTCACACCTGTTTTACATGCACTTTCTTGATCTTTAAACCAAATACAACTTTCTGTGCAAGGTCAGGTGGATCAATACATTGTTTACACAATATAAAATGTTGAAACATTAACAGGAAATGAGGATATATTTTAGCTTTTCACATAATAAGAGGGTCAAAAGTTTACAAGTATGAAATTTAGACTGTTTAATATGGGTCAAGCCTTTTGGCTATTCTTCCACAAACTTTTGACAGTACTTCCACTGCTCCTGACAGAACTGATTTAGGTTTGTGGCCCGTTTATGGATTAAGACAACTCAACAACTCAAGGCACGCTAACTTTCCACGGGATACTTGTAACAATACTGAAATGGTGTACGTGTATCTGTGTTTACAGTGGGGCATATTCAATTGTGGACATCAACTCTATGCAGAAGTGCGCTAAAAGTATGACATGTTACTGGGTAGTCAATTTACTTTAGCTGTGAATTATGGAGATACAGTTCATTTGATGGGAGTGTCAGCATTTTTCCAGGCTTTCTTTGTCACAAGATATACTCTGATGGGTTTTTTTTTTAAGTAAAAGGATGTTGTTAGGGCTGTTCCATCAATGAGCTCACATATGGATACACACAAGAAAGTTATGAGGGAATGAGAGCGCTCTCGTTGTGTTGCTGCGTAAAGGCACACACTGTGCCAGATGTGGGGATTATAGATAAGCGCAGTGACACGCAGGCAGTTCCATCCTGGTGTTGTGTTGATTATATGTCCGGTTTATATTTTTGCACATTGTTGCACATTTCGGTTGGCCTCCCCTACAACTCAATAGAGTTACATTCTGGGGCTTTAGTTTAATATTGAATATAGTTTGAAGGATGTTCTTTTTTCTGTCTTTGACACACAGATACACCAAAATGAAGACGGCCACCAACATCTACATTTTTAACCTGGCTCTGGCCGACGCCCTGGCCACCAGCACGCTTCCCTTCCAGAGTGCCAAGATGCTGATGGGGACCTGGCCCTTTGGCGAGCTGCTGTGCAAGGCCGTCATGGCCATCGACTACTACAACATGTTCACAAGCATCCTCAGCCTCACCATGATGAGCGTGGACCGTTACGTAGCCGTGTGCCATCCAGTGCGCGCACTCGACTTCCGCACGCCAGCCAAGGCCAAGATCATCAATGTGTGCATCTGGATTGTGTCGTCTGCCGTGGGGGTGCCCGTCACTGTGATGGCGGTAACCAAGGACTACAAAGGTACTGTAATTATCATCTCCAACAGCCTGACTTCAACCGATACTGTAGTCCATGGAACCTCGTCCCCCACATGTGAAACATGCTGCTTCTCAAAGTGCTTTACAATTCAAGAAATATTACTATCACAAACCAATTGAAAGCATTATCAGAGTGGATTCAAAAGAATGTTAGCACAAGGCTGGGTGTTAATAATGCGTACACTTCCTCAATCTAGCTGCTACCACTCTGATTGATCAAAGTGGTAGCAGATTGGTCATTCATCTTCAGTAATGTGTTGCAGGAGTGGTCATCTGTACGCTGGAGTTCCCTGAGCCGGACTGGTACTGGAACACAGTGACAAAAATCTCTGTCTTCATATTTGCCTTTGTGGTTCCTGTGCTGGTGATCACGGTGTGCTACGGCCTCATGATCCTGCGGCTGAAGAGCGTACGGCTGCTGTCCGGCTCCAAGGAGAAAGACCGGAACCTGCGGCGCATCACCCGCATGGTGCTGGTGGTGGTGGCGGCCTTCGTCATCTGCTGGACTCCCATCCACATCTTCATCATTGTCAGGATCATCATTCCCATCGACCAGAGCAGCCTGGTGGTGGTGGCAAGCTGGCACCTCTGTATCGCTCTGGGCTACACCAACAGCAGCCTTAACCCGGTTCTCTACGCCTTTCTGGACGAGAACTTCAAGAGGTGTTTCAGGGACTTCTGCTTCCCCCACCGTGCGCACAGGGAGCAGAGCAGCTTCAGCCGAGTGCGCAACAGCACACGTGAGCCGGCTTTCATCTGTTCATCTAGTTGCAGGGACAGAGCTCCAGCCTGACTAAGACTGGAGCCCAGGAGCGGCCAGAGTGAATTTCAGTCTGAGGTCACGCAGATCACCACCACAGGAATGTAGACTGATGTGCTTGCTGTCTATTTGAACAACCAGTTCAGTGAGAAAACAGGACAGTGCGGAGCGGGCCCAGGAGTTCTCATTTGGGCCGGTTGTGAAATTCAGTCTTGCATCATCGTGGTACATGTGTCGCATATCTCTTTGTATTGAGGTGCGGTATGAATACAATCAGAATTTTCAATGGTGAGTTAGAGCAGGCTCTAAAATTGATCGTAGACCAGACTGTGATGGGCCAGAAAACTTGGAAAAAATGCTCTTTTTATTTGAACCAAAAACTAAAAAAAAAAAAAAAAAACATTACCAGTTATCAAATTGATTTTTTATCAGAGCATAGACTTAGATTTATGATTGATCCATTTATTGGTAAAAAAAAAAAAAGCTAAAATATATCTTGTATATTCTGAAATGTATATGTGCTCTGTGTACCTGCAGGTATTGTCATTTTGATTTTGAAATAGAAAAACTAAAATTGCAAGCAAACGTCTTTGCTATCAGTCATGTAGCAGATATTGTCATAAACATATTGTCAACCAATGCTGATGTGCTCACTGAGAGGACACATTAGAGACTTGGGGTAAAGGAGCTCAAGCTCATGTACAAACTGATCTACAGACTAATGACTGGTTTAGGAGTTGTAGCTGGTAAACAAAGTGCCTGTGTTCTTAATTCACAATGCAACATTTCGGCATATTCCTGCTGGTGTCAAAAAAGATGACAATCTATTCCCACTGCTGCTGAACGGGCACCAAAGCCTTGGTGGAGCAGAGGGGAACGTGATCTTTACCAGCCACTGATGTTGGAAATCTTACTAACAACGTTCATAGAAAAACATTTCTTTATTTACAGTTTTGGTTTTCAAATGAAAAAAAAAAAAGTCCAATTGTAAACAGTTTTGTTTTTTTCTTTTCAAAATTAAAATAATATGGCCGGCAGGTAGACAGACAGATTTGAAATAGTTTGACAGTTAATTGTCTCCAGTCTTATGGTAATCACAATTTTAGTCAGAAACAAATTATTCAATATTTTGCCAAATTCCAACTAACCCACGCATCACTTACTGTTTGTCGGTCCATAAAGTAGCGACAACACAAGGCAGTGGAGTAACAAACATGTTGTTCTTCTGGGATAGACTTTCACGACTGCTTCTGTACATTGTGTAGAGTACGAAGAGTGTCATGCCGAATATTGTTGTTTAGTTTTTACTGGCACTTTCAATGTACTCATTGACTTTTTCGACTGTCAAACTTCACAAGACTGAAATGACTCTATGACAAAAGGTTAACCTTATTAGGAAAACCGTTCAGGACACGGCTCCTCTTAAGACATCTATGGACAAATTCATCTCTCTGAAAGACAAATAGAGGAAAAGATGAACTCCAGAGACTGAGAATTCTTTGGCAGAGACAGAGCAGACGCTTGGACAGTCCATCATCAATAGACGTGGCAGTGGAACAGCTGTCAAAACAGTTCACTTAAACACAGACTTAACCAGGATGGAACGAAGAATGAGCAAGCTTTGAAGTGACTGATTACATTTTAAGGGGACTTAAAAAATGTAATCAGGCACTTTATAAGAATAACTTAGAGAAGAAATATATGTATAGAAAGTAATTCTGAGTTCTAAAATGGATATCCACATGTTGAAGTAGTAAGTAAAAGTATTCACATTTGTCTCATTGCGGCCACAAACAGTATTGTATTACGTATATTTCAGTGTGAAAGACCAACTCAAAGTGGTAACAATTGCAAAGTGATTTTATAATTTTATTTTTAAAATTGCAAAGTGCCTATGTTCTGCCCCTTTTCACTGACTGCAGCCAATTTCCTTGAGAAGTGAGTGGTCAAATATTAACCTAACTGCTAAGTATAGAGCCGGGGTCTCAAATACAAGCTGGGGGCTGCGCATGGTGAGGCATAAGAGATATATTTATTTAGTATATAGTGTGTGCACAAAATGTACAAAGATAAAGGGATATAGGCACACGCAAATGTATAATTAAACACAAAACTTTCACACTACACCAGGGGTCTCAAAAAATGGGGCTGGGAATAGCTATGCTGTGCCCTCCTGTAAGGTGTAATGTAGATGTAGCCCCTACTTGTTGTACATATTTTTAAAGCTAACTGAATCAGCAAAACTGCCACATCACTTATATTATCATGACCATTGAAACCTAAAAATAATATGTATTAATTAAAAGTAAGCATTATTCAGCCCAGCAGTCTACAATCCAAAGCCTCATTGCCTTTAGTCCGGTTTTGTTTCAATACAAGCAGCTGAACTCATTTTGGAAAATACATGTATAATGTATATATAAACAACTAGATTCATACTCATATTCAATGCAAGCAACTATTTCGTCTCCTGAGTCCTGTGAGTACACAGTCATGGATTACATCGAGCTCTGTTGTTTTAACCAGTAGGGGACCCTCAAGGCCAGCAAGGCCTTCTCTGAGGGTCCAAACATAATAATGAATATATTTTTTCTACAAATAATTATTAAATGATTCCCCATATTCTATACTCCTCATTTCATAGTTTTTGTACGCTGGTTGGTTGGTTGCGTTCAGATCAGTGGGGGCGGGTCCCTGCTCAAAAGTGGCCAAAATAACGTGCGCTGACATGCTTGCAATACCACCCCGGGCCGATGGGGGTGGACCAAGCCCCGGCGATCCAAGATGGCGCCCTATTCAAATGAATGGTTGTGCTCAGTGGCGCTTTGTGACGGCATGGGGGCTGAAAGATTAGCGGAAGTTGCCTGAAACTCGCAAAGATCTATGGGAAACTCGCCTGTATTTGGGCATTGTCTGGTCCTCCCGGTTCTGCGCGGTGGATGATCTCCCATAATGCGTTGCGCCAAACACGCGTGTGTGGGTCTCACACCGGGTCTCACGCACGTGCACAGAGGGGCTCGGCCGCGCTCTGACCAATCAGAGCAGTTCATCAGAGCGGGAGTTAGAGCGAGAGCCAGAGGAGCAGAGTTTGTGGCACTAAAGTGTGGATTTAAACAAAACCGAAGGATTTAAGAAAAAAAGTTCAGGATGACAAGGGACACTAAAATCCCCACAAAATCCGATCTTTATTAAAGCTGTAGGTTCTCTGTCAGCTGAGGTTGAGCTGTTTTAATATGCATTGAGTTCTATGGGGAAAATTTCTGGGTAGCCCACGTGAATTTAGTCTGGTTCAGTCTGCAGTACCGCGAGAATCCCCCGAGCACATGAGTTATTCAGCTACAAGCTAGTAATACCCTATCCAGTTAATATAATACATCCATGGGGTGGACCCGTAATAAGAATTAGCCAATGCTAACATATAGCATTCTTACCTCTCGAAAACGTATTTACAGGATGGTCCAAAAGTTGGCTCTTGGCCAAAGCTCCGTTCCACATGTGTGTCAATGCTGAGGGGGGTGAATTTTTTCGGACCAGTTTAGTTTACTCGCTGTGAATTTTTTAAGTAAAATGAATGGGGCTCGTGCCAGCTGACGCATGCGCAGATGCGTTTTTTCACATTTTCCAGCCCAATTTTTGGCCCATTAGTTAGAATTACATTTGTTAATATATAAAGTCTATGGTTCAGATGCAGGTCTATGCTATTAGATAGATACAGTAGATAGATACTTACTTTGATTGATCCCCAAAGGAAAAATGCAGGTGTCCAGCAGAAGATGCTCAGTAGGTAGTGCATTGGTCTTTGAACCTAATGGTGGTGGGTTCGATCCCCCCACGACCTGGTATGAAACCTGCTCCCACTGATGTCTGCTGTCGTTGTGTCCCTTGGAAAGACATTTAACCCCGCTTTGCCTGAAGCCTCTGCTGAAAGACTAAGGCCATGTCTTCAATGACGGAGAAGCCATCATCCTGTAGACCCACCACCTGCAGGAGGATCAGTGAGGGACTGGTGCTTTGAGCATTGGGTGGCAGCTTTGATTGCCACCCCTACGACCCAGAAATTGAATAATAAAGGGATAGAAAATGACATGACAGCACTTCATGTCAAAGGTGGTTATTGTTTGAGCCATGAGTAATGGCTCAGAAAAAGCTTGCTACACTTGGAGACAAGTGTATTATGCGGTGGAATCCTTTCTGCTACAATGAAGTTACAAGTCTTCGAGTATCTTAGGGTATATCTCTAAAAACTATAAACTCCACACTTAACACTACTACTGTACATAGTAGTATTTTGGGGTCCCACCATTTTGTAGCGGTGCCCGAATGTCCACACTATGAAGTGCGCTGGAAATGTCCTGAACACGAGTCAGCAGGGGATGTACACCCCGTAGTATAAACGCCTGGTCGTCTGCCGGAACACCATATGCGAAGGACAACAGGAGAATGACTGAAATAATGTTAACACAAAATTATGAACAAAAAGACTTGTTCATAATTCAACCACTACTACCACCAATTACAAGTACAAGTGCAAGAAGGATGAAGAATTGGCAATAAGTCTGATCAATTTCTGTTCAGTTTTGGGAATAACTCCAGTCAGATTTGTATGTTTTTTTAAACCTGGATGATTTCAATTAAAGGCTAGATGGTAGTATGCAGAATAACCATTCTGACCATCTCTTAATCCATTAATCCATCCATTAATTTTTTTGTTTGCACAAAAACATTCTGTGCATTCTGTATATCCATCATGTACAGTCATGTAGGTACTACTGTTTAAACTTCAATTAGGAATAATGATCATGCGAATGTAGTATGTATCACTGGGGTAATACTGGACTCAGACTTAAATTTTAATAGCCACGTCAAATCAGTAACATCAGCAGCTTTTTACCACCTAAAAACATTGCCAGGATCAAAAACATAGTGTCTAAAGCAGACTTGGAGATTCTTATCCATGCATTTGTCTCCAGTAGATTAGACTACTGCAATGGCCTTCTCACAGGTCTCTCCAAACAGGCTGTAAAACAGCTGCA